CAACTTTTAGGAATACTGAGATGCCACTTAGAGCATTATAACCATGGCACAGACTGGGATAAAAGGCATTAAATTATCTAGACAAGCAGCCAAATATAGGTTCCTTTTGGAAGTGGTTTTCCCACGATGGTTATGTTTATGAATAATTTATTTAATTTATCCCCTAAAGTTGTGGGAGTGTAATGAGACCCAAGGTTGCAAATAGCGATGAATATTCACATGTCCACTCTACGTAGAATAATAAGACATTGTACTGAAAGTTCTTAACCAGATCAATCAGATTCTTTGAACTACTTTTGTGATACTGAGTATTATCTTTCCCGGTGGCTGTGTGGGAGCTGGGCACATTTCTCATCTCTTTGACTCATTTAGTTAATTATAAAAAATATTCTTAAGGCCAGGCTCTAGAATTTATGACATGACATTATAAGAGAATAACAAGCTTGTGGAGCTCTATTTGATTAGTAAATGGAGAGAGTACTGAATAGGACTTTATTTAATAAAAATGTAATAAGAGTATATTTTTTCTACATTACTAAAATTAAACATGCACATTCCCTACAGTGTCACAATTCTATTTGTAGAGAAATCCTTCCATCTGCAGCAGAAGATACGCATTATCCTGTTCATAGAAGTATTGCTCAAAATAGCAATAAAACTGGCAACAGTCCAAATGCCCATTAAGGGTAGAAAATGTATAAATAAAATTGTGCTATGTTTTACAACGGAAAGCTACACAGCAGTGAAAATGAATGAACCACAATTATATACATTAATAATTATAAAAATATAGAATTAAAAAATACAAAGAACATACACAATGTGATTCCATTTGTATGAAGTTCGAAATAGGCACAACCAAATAACGTGTCGCCTAGGGACGCACATGCAGGTGGCAAAGGCGCGATGACACGGAACGCGGGGGAGCGGTTACCCTCCAGCGGGGGAGAGGAAGGGACCGGGCCTGCGCGTGCCTCTGCAGTCCCGCCGACGTCCTGTGCGTACGCCGAGTGGCGCGTGCAGGGACGTGCTCATTTCATCATTCTTTTAGTTGTACGTATACGTTCTATGCAGTCTTTTGTATATATATTTCACAACCAAAGTGTTCTTGAAAATAGTGAATGGGACATAAAGGTGACAAGAACTTATGCGGAGAGAACTAGAGGAATGTGTCACTGTAGCGGAGGGACCCTGCGGAGGGTTTGTTTTGTTTCTAGATGAGAAACCATCGACATGGATCGGAATGATCCAGTGGAGAGAGGTTGACGACTGTCGCAGCTGAGTCCTGGAGAGGTGAGGGGGATCGAGTGACAGGGAAGGGGTTGGCCTTCGATAGCAGTGGGGACCCTCTGCCATGGTCACGGGGACAGTGACTCTGGGCACGGACGCAGGTGAGTTTGTAGACCGGGGGATTGGAAGTCACCCGCCGAAACTGTGTTTTCATCGGCGCATAAAGCGAGGCTCTCACCCGCCATGTGTGCAGGGAGCGTGGGCGGTTGGGGAGCGAGGGTGCCGAGTGTGGCCCGGGAGGCGGGAGGGCCGAGAGCGGGGCCGTGGCGGGAACCCTCGACTCGAGCAGCCAGGCCCTTGCACGATTCTCCGGCGACATTCAGCTCCCCGGGCTCAGGGTCGGAGGCCTAGGTGCCAACAGTGTGGCTTTGCCAGGCCGCTATAACGGGGAAGGGGCACAGAGTGGAGGGTACTGAGAAGGAAACGATTTAATTATCGACCATGGAATCTAGGCTGGGCGAGGAGGGAAACCGAGATGGGGGGGGGCGACGTTAGTAAGACAAACGCTGGATTTAATGGATTCGGAATCTCGATAAGGTCCAAGACTCGTTGCAGCGTAGGGTACTAGGGTGAGCTCAGGGTTAGAGATGCTCAAAGTGGTTCAGGACGTTGCTGGTGGTGACAAGGCATGACATGAAGAGACGCTGACGGTGGCCCTCAACTGAGGTCAGGACCCGCCCTGGGGGTGAAATGTGTGGAGACCGCGGAGGGGGTAACGCACTGGCAATGAGAGGCAGGGTGTGGAGGTGCCACGTGACTTGTGATATGCGGGATCGTCCAACAGAAACGACCGTCCCGGCCCAGACAGCAGCAGGGCCCCCGCCGAGAAGCGCCGGGCTGGGGTGCTGGCCGGCCGGGGGAGGCGGAGGGCAAACACGCTGCAAGAGAGCTTCTCAAGGCACGGTCAGGTTTCAGGTAAAGCACAGAGGGAAAGAAACATTTGAAAAAGGGGTCTTTGGGGGCACTTGCCTGTCACAGACTGGGGGTCCCAGAAGGCACTCTGAGGGGACGGGATGAGGAACAGGGGTGCTAGGAGGGTACGCACGGAGGCGCTGGGGATGAGGGTCTGGGGATGGATGGCCTGGGGGGCTTGGGCCTTCCGCGACAACTCACAGGGACGGCAGCCTGAAGGGTGTGGCCCTGGCGGTCCCTTACAGCAAGGAGGGACGGTTGAAACAATAGTCCAGGATTCTTAGTGGGGGCTTCTAGGTAACTTCTCCCTGTAGCAACTCCAGAGGGCTCAAGTTCATGCTTCATGTTGACTGGGGTGAGTACTCCTCGAATGATTTACATGGGTTGAGTCAAACCCAGTAAAAACTTAAAAATTCTGCCACATGTCTGCTGAATTTTGGAGGGGAGTCAACGACCAGGTGCTTCAGACATTCATGTGTCCAGGCCGCCTGAGTCGCCTCATCCAGGAAATCCTCATTTCTATGAGCAGCGCAGGTTTGAACCACACAGAACTGAGTCTTATGAAATAGGGTGGTGTTTCTCAAACATTAATGTAGTCATGATTCACCTGGGGATCTCGCTAAAATGCTGATTCTGATGCCGTAGGTCTGGGGTGGGCTGGGATTTGCCATTTCAGAAAAGCAGTATGTTCGGAAGACGAGAAGCTTTAGAACTGGTCAGGTTCAAATGTGCGCTTTTCCTATGTCGTCTATACGGTCTTTGGCCAATAACCTCTCACTGCTTGTGTAAAGCAGGAATAACGTCACAGGCTGTTGTGAGAATTAAATGATGTATATGAAGGACCCAGCACAGCCCCAAGCACACCGCAGGGGTAGAGCATTTTCCTTTTTCCCCCTCCATTGTCTTGTCCTCAAAAACTGCTCTCTCCAGACTTAAGGTGACATTCTTTTTATATTTTCTGGGACACTGGCCTTCTGTAGATGATTAGCTGCTTGCCAGGGTGTGATGCTGGGGCATTTCTGTGGTGCTCACTCCCTCATCCTGTTGAAGAGAAAAGGATGAGTTGCCTTCAGTCTTTGCTCATGGCTGAGCCTGGCTTGTAGCCTGGCTCCCTTAGACCTTCCTATTCTAGTGTTTTGATCTGAAAATCCCAGTCCCTATTTGAGTAGATATTCCCTGGCAACCTAGACCGAGGGCCCTTCGCAGACTGAATTGCTTGTCCTAGTCCAGTTGGTTCACTCCCACATTAAATGCACGTGCCTCTTCCAGCGCAGAGTGAGTACAACAGACCTCACCTCGCTCACTCCACTTTGACGAGTCTGGCTTAGTGACTTTGGCAACTTTACTCCTGAGTTCTAAAGCTGTAAGAACAGCCTGTTGTATGGCTGCGCCTTCAGAAGCACCTAAAGATTGTCCAGGTACTAAATCCTGCAGATCACCTGGGAGTTTGGGGGTGTGAAGGAAACAGTGCAGCAGCCAATGGCTTCAGTAGAACCAGGCAACTGTCCTGAGGGGGTCAGGGAGCAGCTCGCAGCTGGCAGCTCTACTCCAGTCCTCAACAGCACCAGAGTGGTACATGCTTGATTGGGGCCATGAAAACCTCCCACATCAGGGCAGGGCTGCAGCATCCGGGTGGGATCGCTCACTGCATCTCTGCAAAGCGAATGCCTCCCGGATCAGGCTGGGAGGAAGCTCTTCTTTTCCCTAGCTTTCCTTTTGCCTAGACAGTGCAGGAAACTACTCAGATTCACAGTGTGGGGTCAAGGTATGATCCTCTTTGGGAAGATTTTCCTTTTGGGGAAGTGAGCAAAGGGGGACAGGCTTGGGAGGGCTCAGCAGTTCTCTGTGTTTAGAATCCACAAGGAAATAAGCAGCTGTCTGTCAGTAATTTACCCTCTTGCAAAGTATAGCAAGAAGCTGTTAATCTTTATTAATTAGCACAGACTTCTGCGGAGTTAGAACAAGGCCAATATCCGAGTGGTAAGGAGAACTTCGGGTGCAGGTAATAGTGGAAAAAAGGGGACCACCGTCCCCTCCATATACTTGGCATCCTTTCTTCAGGCAAGACCCTAAAGTTGCTTTACCAGATATGAGTTTGCAACCTCCTATTTATAGTCTATTAGAAACCTCTATTAGACTGGGGGGAGAATTCCCCTTTGCTTCTTGTCCTTGAGGTGAGAGCAAATGAGTTGTAGAACATTCTGATTTAGCAAGAGTGTGGACAGGCACCGACAGACCATACGACTGCCACTCATTTATTTAACAATACTTAATTCAAGAGGTTGTTTGAATTAGTGGAGAGAAGTATTAGTCAGCTAGGTGCAAAGAAGCCAGTGGAGGAGAACTGGGGGAGGGATGGGTCAGGCCGGAGGGTACCAAGCAGCAGCAGAATCGGTTCCTGGGAAACGAGGAGCCCGGTCACTCAGGCTCCTGCCCGCCTGCTGCTTCCAGCTGGGGGGAATGCGTGTGGGGAGAAGGGGCTTCTCTGCTGGTCTGTCCCCTGCACTCCTAGAGGAGAGTCCTTTCCAGCCTGCCCCACCCTGCCTGCATTGCCCCGCTGCCTGTGAGCCAGTGTGGCTGTGCTCTCTTTGACAGCCAAGGCGTTGGCCCAAGGGTCCGAGTGCAAGAGGAACATGTGAGTAGATGCATGTGTGAGTGCAAGAGGCAGACATGGGGGAGAGGGGCTGGCCGTGTTCCTGCAGAGATGGGATTCCTGGGTTTTGAAAATATGCCCCGCCTCATCCAACACAAATACACAACAGCATAGTCTCCTGAAGGTCAGAAAGCACTATGAAACGTTTCTTATAAAAGTATTTTTTAATAAATCAATGTATTTCAATGTTGTAACATGATAGCCCAATGCTATATCAAGGTAGCAAAAGTGAAGATTCCTGGTATTTTTATATAAACACTATGAATGACAGTACACTTGCATTCAACTTCACAAGAAATTATCTTCAGGTCCACGAAGATTCTTTGACAGCTGTAACACCCTTCAAACAGCGAAGATGAGTATTGAACGAGTAGACAAAGTCTAATAATTGAGCTGCGCCCTAAAACCAACCATACCAAAGAAAAGGGGATGCGATGGCAGTATGGCCAGCTTGCTGAACAAAAACCCCGAGTCTTCGAAACTTAATCATTTAACGAAAATACAGCATATATCAAAACTACAGAGTATCTTACAGAAATGGAGCCATAAGGAGACGCACAGATTAGAACCCTGAAGCAGTGAATGTGTTTCTACCCGTTTTGCGATGGAAAGAAGCCATGGATCCAGAGTCCCGCAGCTGTCTGTCGTGTTGAATCTCCTCACACACACGATGCACCGACCGACTGAAACCAGAATTCCCTGCTCTGTACAAATGCTGGTGATGGGTAACGTGCACTATTGCTGTGAGCCGGAGCAATAGTTGGCTGGAGTTCAGGCATTAAGTGGAGGCTGAGATTGTACACCACTTCCCTCCACGGTCCCACAAGTCACACTTTCCAAAGCTGATGCTCCCTTGGAAGGGTTAAAAAAAAAAAACAAAAAAAACACCCCAAGGGTATTTAAAACAGCAGAAACCAGAAGCTTCTGCCCCTTTAACACTACATTACTGTCCAGCCCACCATGAGGATGTTTCAACTTGGTTACAACAAATAGACTCCATCATATCACGTGTGTATGACCAGATTTTTGATACAGGATTTTTCTTAACAGAAATCAAGTTGAGAACAAGATTCTTTTCCTCCAAGGGCAAGTAAAAGCTGGTTAAATGCTGATGAAATCTACTCTCAATTTTGAACTGTAGAGAAGGCCTGACTTGAATGGGATTTTCTGAAGGAAGACATTTATTTCTCAACCTCAGGTATAATTAGATTGCAAGGAATCTCATGTCCAGAATTTTATCTGCTGATTGTTAGGATAACTGGCCTTACGACACTATTTCTACTAGAACCCTTTACAGTATTTTTAAATTCTAAATGCTGCCGATGAAAGTAAAAACAAATTAACAATAAAATCATCTGTGTGCTGAGTTGCTGGATTCTGGATAGCACAGATGGGATGTTCCTGGATATTCGCCAAGAAGTGTCTAAGTAATGGCTACCCTTTTGTGTCAGCAGCTCAGGTTTAAATCATGTATATTCGAATGAATTAGAAAAAAACTATAATCCACATTAACTACATCAAACACTCTCTGCTAACCTGTGTTTTGGTGAGAGGACTCTCTTTAGTGAACATCTCACTGCTAGAGCCTTAGTGTTTTGCCCCAAATCTCACTTTGAGATCTGAACCAAGTCAACATTTCATAAAGTTCATATGTTCCTTCCTTCTTTCTATCACAACTTTTAAAACAAGTGTTCTGCTCCCTAAAGAACTGAGAGAAATTTGTCAAGGCTTTCCTCTCTGGAAACAGGACGGTCAAAATCATAAATTAGGTTAAGTGGCTTCACTGTCCTGAGGCCAATGCTTATAACCCAAGCTTTATTTTCCCTATGAACAGGGTGTGCTTAAGTTGATAAGATGAATGAAAATCAGCTTATGGAAAAGTTAAAAACGTAGTGTACTGAAAGATATGTATCTTCACACAGAGCAATGGCAAACAATCCCATCTAAACGTTTAAATAAATGTAAATAACTTTAAAACTAACAACATATATATGAAGCTAAAGTCACTGCCTTGGATAATTTGTATACTGCATCCATTATTTTGTGTAGGACATTCATTCTTAAGGCAGAAAAACTGAATGACTTGTAATGACTTGATTCTTACATCCAAGGGTCAAACAGAGTAGACGAACAGACAGATTCCTTGCTAATGAGGATTTATCTGTGGTAACAATTTCATTCTTAGAGTACGCTATGTAAGAGACATACATTTGAGAACATAAGATGAAATTTAAGACACACAAATGTAACAAGATGTCCACAAGACTAAGCATTCTATTAGGAGGTGAAACGACTCCTGTAACAAATTAACAAGCTCTGACATACTCTGATATGGTACATAAAAAGTATGAAATATCAAAGCATTACCTTTTGGGGGTGTGTTGCTTTAGACTCTGGTTTTCAAGGTCTAGTATAAAAAAAGGTAGCCTGAATAGTTAAAAGCAGTTGAATGTCAACTCATACTGCTACTCAGAAGGCTACCACTTAGGATATTCCTACACCACCAACGAAGTCCTGTGCAGGGAGGAAACCAATGTGTATTAAAATAAGAATGTAGCGCCTCCCCCCAAACATGTGCAAAAACACTTGTCAGTTACTAACAAGAATATCTTTAACAAAAACATAATTGTAGAACGAGAGGCAGCAAAGCCAGAAAGACGTAAGAGTATACCACCCTGCCTACACGGACGGATATTCGGGGTGGAACTGATCGTTCCGTGGGAGACGTGCTACTCAGTGTGGCAGGAGTGCGAGGAGGACCTGGACCCAGGGTCCCAAGCCCTCGGGGCTGTGTGTGCTCCTTCACCGCAGGCCAGCTGGCTCTCTGCATCCTGGTGCCACCGACATTAACAAAACAGAAATCTAACAGACAATTCTTAAGCAGATAATGACGACTGTAGCTGGGTAAGTACCTTTTTGTGTGCCTATTATTTATGCCACAGCTCTGGCAATTGTCAGAAGTGTACAAAGATGACCTGCCTAATTTTTGAAGACATGAAGATTTTCTTCTTTCACGGTGGCAGGAGTCCATGCAAGATTTGTAAACAGCGATACAAAATACTGTAAACATAACTTAACAGAGCTTGTATAAAACAGAAGAAGTAAATCCAAATTTACAAGTGGGTAAAAAAAACAGAGGGCAGCTTCGTACAAAGTTCTCCCTCCTGCGCCAAGTGATTTGATTACAAATATAATCCTGAGCTGAAAAACTGGGATTTGGGGAGAGTCATCTTTGCATACAAAATATCCAAAGGACGCTTACTGTTTACTTTTCCCTATTGATATTCAACTGCCAGAGACAGTTCTGAAAGTGTGACTTTGGAGACATTTATAGTTTAGTGTGGCGCCCCGATCTGGAGCCCGCGGCAGCGCTCGCCATGGAAGCGGATGCGGCAGCATCCTCTGCCTCCTCCAGTTCGTCCTGGAGCTCCTGGCTGACGCTGGACTGCAGGGCGGCGGGCGTGAGCCACTCCTTCGGGAGGCAACTCTGTAGAAAGGGTATGCAGGAGCTGAAGTAGGCAAGTCGATTGATCCAGCGAGGAATCTCTTTCCCACAGAGAATCTACAGAGGAGAGAGAGTTCCGTATTAGGGACGAGAGGTTACAGTTATCTAGTCCACCGCCAGGGAGGGAGGGAGGAGGGACGTGGCTGGGCAGAAAAGCCACCGCGGACTAGCCTTCAGTGCGGGCACTCCAAGCTTTGATAACAGCCTGGGGTCCCTACTGTCGGCTCCATTCCTTTCTTTCTGAAGAACCCTGTCAAGCTGCTTACTTTTTAACGTCTGTAAAATCAAGCTAATTCCAGGTGGCTCCTCTCTTTGATCCCTGCGACTGCTTTGAAACACGTGTAAAAGTGTCTTTGAACACGCAGAAGATGCTTGTTAATGCAAGATATTATTAAAGTGATAGAAGTTCCAGGCAGTTCGAACAGTCAATCTTGGATATCTTCCCATCTGTGAATTCTCCTTTTTCACAGGTTCCTTCCCACTTTACTCCAGGCTCTACAGTGCTCTCTATTTTTCCTGGCCCTCATTTTACTCCTTCACTTCTGTTCCTGACCCACTTGTTTCAAGGAGCTCACAGGGAGCCAGGTCTACACTGGGGAGACACCTCTTTCTGGACCGCAGGCCTGTGTCGGTGCAAGGCATGGAACCTGGCCAAGCTTCAGCCTGAAGACTCGATTAGGAGTAGAAACGGGTGCCAGCAAGAATCCCTCCCAGCTGATCGATCTGCGCACCTCCCATCCTTACACAGTCCTTAGGACTCCTGACCACCTCCCCCCAAAACATTTCAAATAGTAACAACTGAGTCTTTTATAATACTAACTGTACTCTTATTATTTTCTTTTCTGCAAACACCACTGGGCTCAACTGAGACCATGCCCCACTTTGGTGTTTTTGCCTCCAATTATGCCAAAGATAATGATCATGCGATCTCAAAGTGTCACCTTAGATATTTACATATCAATGACTTTGGAAAGAGGTTTCAAAGTATCTCATGTCCAAAAATTAGCTCAAATTTAAGTAAGCTGGCACCTATAATTATGCAATGTAACTTTTCTCCTCAAAGATTTAGCCCAACCATTAATGGTTACTGCATTTATTTTAAATACTACATCTGCGTCTTAACTATCGGGAACGTGAGATGGTCTTGAGGGAATGAACACGTTCTAACCATTTTTGATTAACCAGCACCTATCCCAGTGCCTGGGAGTAGAGAGAGGTAGACAGGTACTTAAAAATATTTGAGTATGTACATGAACTAGGTCTGGGAGAAAGCTGAACAGTGACCCTATATGATACCATTCCCATCTGTCTACTCTTAAAAACACGGGCATACAAATACTACATTTTATCCCTGAGACATTTAGGGAGATCTGCATGTTTGGAGGTGTTAACCAGGTAAGTGCCACTGTTGTCTACTCCACAGCTATTTCCCTCGTTCTCCTTCCAGAGTCCTAATTTTATTCAGTAATCGACCCCTCTCCATATATCCATACTACAGGTGAAGTTGACTTCATCCCAATCCCTGGGGGTGTAGCCTGGTAAGCCTAAAACAGAATTCTGTAATCTATAGTCACCTGTTTTTGTTGATAAAGTTTTCCTGAAATATAGCCAAGTACATTTGTTTATGTATTGTCTATGGGTCTTAGGCTACAATGGCAGAGGCAGAGTTGGGACCGCGAATAGTCTACAAGACTAAAATATTTACTATCTGGCTCTTAAAAGTGTGCTGACCCTTCGTGAAGCCAATATTTTAAAAACTCTGAGTCATGACCCTAAGTAGGTCATTTAGCATTACAACCTGAATTTTTAAAATGAAACAGATCGTAGGTTTTAAGGTAACTATTACTCTTGTATTAGTTGGGTCACAATGTAAAATGTATTTCTTACTGTGGCTAGTGGTTAAATAGTATTTGGTATATATGGTAAAATTATTTTTGCATTTAAGCTTCAATCCAGCAATAATTCTTCTATCCCAGAGATATAGTGGTAAAAATAAGGTATGTACTTATGTACAGGGTTATTCATTGTAGCACTTTTTGTAACAGCAAAAGACTATAAAAATAACCCAAGAGCCATTAATAGGAAACTGGTTGAATAAATTATGGTATGTCCACAAAAGGAAGACTATTCAGCTGAGAAAAGAAATAAGGAATATCCCTATATACTGCTACAGAACAAACACCACGATATACCATTAAGTGAAAAAAGCAAAGTGGAGAAAAGTGTGTATAGGATGTTCCCAAGGTATAATAGTGGGATAGGCACAGAATAATTGTTATAGACATTCCCATTCCAAAAGGAAGAAAATGGAAGGAAGAAGTTACTAGTCCCAAGTAATTCTGAATTCCAACTGGGCAAATTCCATTAGTTTTCAAGGCCTGGGAATAATCCTCTGTGGCCTTGGGGTCTGCCTTCTGGGCCCTAGATTCTACCCTTGGGAATCATCCTTTTTTTCTCTAGCTTATTTCCTGCCTATAGAATTTTCAAAGTCCAATAGCCTTCTTTCATTTTTGTCCTCTATTTCCATCTTAACTGGCATATATTTCTGCTAATATAACATTTTCAAAAACATGAGCCTCAAAAACTATGCATGTCATGGGATTGACTCCATTAGAAAAGAGGTTCCTCTGCAGATTTTTCCTGGATAATCTTATCTCTCTTCCTGGTTGAGAGGATCTATGAGTCATATATTTAATTTCTTCAGCAATAGCAAAAGGTGTTCTAGTCATACATAGCCTTGGCTTTCTATAACATCCTTTCCTAATCGTGGATGCTCCTAATTTCAGCATCTTTTGCAATCTGGACAGGCTGAGAAATTCCCAAGTCCTTAATGTTAATTCCTTTTTTTGCTTAACATTTCTCTCAATTTATCTTTCTCTCGTTTTACCGAAAGCAACAAGAAGAAAGCATGCTGCGCCTTCTACACTTTGCTTGGAAATCTCCTCAGCTAAATATCCAAGTTTATTGCTTACAAATTCTCTTTGTCACATGTATCTCTAGGGCAGAATCCAGAGCTTTCTGCCACTAGATAATAAGGATACCCCTTTGTCCAGTTTCCAGTAACATGTCCTTATTCCTCTGAGCCCTGACAAGCAGCACCTTTAATATTCACATTTCTACTAACAGTCTATTCAAGGAATCCAGGCTTTTTCCATGAAACCCCTAAAACTTGCTCTAGCCTTTATCACCTAATTCCAAAGCCCCTTCCACATCTGTAGGTGTTTGTTAAGGCAACACCGTACTGCAGGTATTAACACTTGTCCTGGCTCCCTCTGGCTGCTGTAACAAATTATCAGAAACGGTGGCTTAAAACACTACAAATTTATTCTTTTAGTTCTAGAGGTCAAAGAACAAGAGAGTAGAGGGGAGTGGAAGAGAAGCTAGACTTCAGTGAATATGCTTTGTTTTTTTTAGATTTGACTTTGGAATCATGGAAAGTTTTTATGTAAGTATAAAAGGAAATTTAAAAGAAAAAGCAATCTCTTCAAAAAGAAAAAAAAGGAAACAAAAGAACCTAACTACGTACTGAGTTGATGGCATAACCATGCAAAAATTCCCATGAACTGTGAAACACATGAATCTGATTATGTATTAAGCCATACTCTAAAGAGAACTACAAAAAAACTTTGACTTTCCAGTAATCATATTGTTGGTGGTAGTGGTGACAGTATTATTCTAAAGCTGTTTTAGGTATAGAGTAAAACAAATGAGTAATTATGTTGTTGTGCTGAGAACCGGGATTTTTTTTTTTTTTTTTAACCAGGAGTAGACAGGATATAGATGTACTACTGAAGAAGTTATGTAAAAACCCTGCAACCTGAATTTGTAGTAGAAACATTACTTTGAACCTCTAAACATATATAAAAAGTCCTACCTCTACCTCCTGAGGGAGGGGGGAAAAAAAAATCTAGAAAGAATCCAATTTAGTAGCAATCAACAACTGTAATGCCCAGATTAAAGTTTCTAGATACTTCCTATTAGAAACAGCTCTGTGGTAGAAATATATAGATAAGCCTGGAATATCTTGTCTACCAGAAAACAAAAAGGCTATCAAAGATTATCAGGGATCAGGGGCCAGGTGCGGTGGCTCACACCTGTAATCCTAGCACTCTGGAAGGCCGGCCCAGGAGTTTGAGGTTGTAGTGAGTTATGATGATGCCACTGCACTCTAGCCCAGGGTGACAGAGCAAGAACCTGTCTCAAAAAAAAAAAAAAAGACAAAAGACTCAGGAGCCAGCCAGCTTGAAGAGGCTCCTATTGCTCAAAGAAAGATGGGACAGGAATAGTATCTGAGATATAAGAAATATTTTTACCTCGGGGGAGGAGGGGAAATTTATGATACTAGATTTTCAAAAAAGGAAAGCAAAACAAAACTTGGTTGCCTTTGGAGAATGCCAGGGAACTGTGTTGGGATCCCCAAGACCACCTCCAGGTTTGATTTGCTAAGAGGTCACAGGACTTGACCTACAGTTGTATTCACACACATGATTTATCATAGTGAAAGGATATAAAACAAAATTAGCACCGGGAAAAGGTGCCTGGGTAAAGTCTAGAGGAAACCAGGTTTCCAATCCAGTCTGAGTCTGTTTCAGAGGGACTATCTGAAAGCAGTCTGTTCATCCATTCCACCAGGCTATCGGCCTCCCGAGTGTGGGTGACAACTGGGGGTGTTCTGTGTGGGAAATGCAGGAGCTGAGGCCACCCCTGCTGTCTTGTAGTCAGCACTGTCAGGTACGACCACAGGCCGAGCAGCCTGTTTAAATTCAAAGTGCCTGCAGAAGGCAAGCATGGCGAGTGATTCTTTAGGGGAAGCAGGTAAAGGAGTACCAAAAAAGATTATCAGTCTTCGCCCTCCTTTGACATTGCCCAGGTGCCAGGTTTCTGTTCTTGTTACCAAATCAGTACGTCCTGTTTAGGAATTGTAACTTCCTCACATTTTAAAAATTATCCCCTACTCTCATTAAGACCTTTTGTCTGGAAGAGAGATATTAAAGAGGGACAAAAGTTTTCATAGGAAATATTTTTATATAACTTAACCAGAAAAATGTATCATTTTA